CCCCAACCCCAAAACCCCAAAACCCCAAAACCCCAAAACCCCGAAATAGTGAAAACTAATTGAATTTTATTAATATTTCTTGAACAGATATGAGTTCTCTCAGAATGACTAGGTCTCTCTCAAAGAAGGCAACTTCGGTCCCCAAGAATACTGTGACAAGTAAAGTCTTTAATTTCGAGAGCTGATTAATCTGTTTGCTTAGATAATAACCCGATTGATGCAGATGATTTCGATAATCTTGGTAAGATAGATTAAATTCTACTGTTTGTTGGCCTATTTGAAAGAGTTCTGAACAATCTTTCAAGAGAACCAAGTCTGTTTGGACTCATAATCTTATAACATAATAGCACTTGATGTGGGCTTTGAAAAAGGAGAACTAGAAGGACTTCTTAATGATGACACCCCTCCAACAGTAAGATTACTCATTTTTTTTAAGAAATAGGCTTAATTTTATCTCTATAGCTTGGGAATAATGACACTAAAAACCAGATGATAGGTAGGAGAGGGACTTCTATTGCTAGATCGAATTCGAAAATAAGCAATAAGAGTAAATCAGGACTTTCTATCTTCCAACGCTCTAGCTTTAATCCGAATGGGATAAGCATGAATAAAGGCATTCCAAGTTTCTTGACTATGAATTATCTAAAGTAAGAATTTATTTCCTATCTCTTAACCATGAATCTTTTTCTACTTCGATAATGAGACAAGAGGCACAGCTGGGACCAAGTCATTCTGGCTTATCGTGACTGGTTTCGGTAAATTCTAGCCTGTTACAAAAGATACTATGTCGTACGCTTAAGGGGTCCTTAGCCTAATACCTTTCTGTTTTAATTCTGCCATTAGTGACAACCAAAGAATGCAATCAAGAATTTCAAATAAAGGAATTTTTAAGAGGGAAAGTGGCCTCAAACAAGACAGTATCTTCGGAAACAAAAGCAAGAGCATAAAGATGAACAGCACTATCCAAAAGTCTAAGCCACAGTTACCAATAGGCCTTTCATTTGGAGACGATGTTACTAAATTTAAATCAAATAAATTCAATGATCTCCAAGACAAGCCTAACGCTGGACCATTGCCAGACTTTACAAAGACCACCTTCAAAGGAAACAACATGTTTGGCATCTTTCCTAGGGTTAACTCTGGTATGAGCGGGTTCGATACCCCAAGAATGATGACCAGAGGGCTCTCAAGTTCACTCCAATTCAATCAAGTTAATGACCCAATTGCGCCACAAATAAAGGAAGACACTTTGATTCTGAATATAAACAGCAAGAAGAAGAGTAGCAGGAAGGAAAGAACAACACCAAAGTCTAAGCCTAAAATTAAAAAGGAGGAGAACAAAGAAACTAGATGGAAGAAGGAAGACGATAGAAAGTATCTACAATCTCTGTAACATTTATAGACTATTCCCAGCATTCCTCAAACTTATTGGAGAAGCTAATATTACTCAGGAGCAGTTCTTGGCAAAAGAGACCAGAATGTCAGCACAAAAGAAGGAAATTCTTGAGAAACTTAAGGATAATTTCAACTGGAGTGGGACTATCTATGCTCTGAGAGATAGAATCAAGAAGAGACTCAAGACTTCTTCCTTCACAGCTAGAGAGAAGAGAGTCCTTCACCGTAAGTTAAGAGAACTATATGATGGTAAGATCACTATTGAACAAGTAACCTCTCATTTCCCAGGGAAGACTGTGGAACAAGTAGAAAAATACAAGAAAGAATTCTATGAACAGGTTGGACTTACTTAATCTTAAAAACCCAAGATGATAAAATACAATTCAAATATTTTAAATAAAATGGGGTTTTGGGGTTTTGGGGTTTTGGGGTTTTGGGG